ATTTGCTTGCTATGTTTCAAGTATATTTTTATGAAGAAGTGTGTTTGGATGTTGTTTATGAATAATAACAATAAATAGTTCTCCTACTATCTTTTTGTGACTACATTTATTCACAAACGGTAACACTTAAATTGGCATTCAATTTTACCTGATTTTGTTTTTCCTTTCCTATACATGAAGTGGATAACAAACATGTGACTGCACCTTTCAAAGGGAGCAAGATAAGGTCTCATTTAAATCAGTACAGGTTATTTTAGTTTCATTGATGTTTGTTGTGTTCTTGAATTTTTAGTTTTTTACCAGCTGATTTTTTTAAATAAAAAAAAAAACCATAAATGAAAAATTCAATAACATATTTGTACATTATTTGTAAAATGTGAAGACTTAAAAAAAATGAATTCAATAACATATTTGTACATTATTTGTAAAAAAAAATTACAACCCAAATAATGATTAGATGTGAATGTTTGCTTTACTGCAAAAGTAAATGTTCCAATTTTCGTGGAGAATATCTCCCTATTATTCATAAATGTAAAATGTGTGACGAACTTTTGGCTCACTCAAGTTAATTTGAGTGGTGAAAAAAAAAAAATCATAGTAATAAAGTTAAGGAAATCAATTGAGTTTTTATTTTCATATGACAGTTTAAAATTAATTTAATTCATCCAGCAATAGCAAAATTTTGTCCCACTTGTATGCTGTGATAATAGGAGTATAGGACAATACGCAAACAAGTTATAAAACGGGCTGGGCCTACTCTAAGTCGCTTACTTACCTGGACGGGGTCAGCGATAAAGAAGGCCCATGGCCTAGCGTGGCGTACTCAATTGCACTTTGGAGGGCCGCCCGTCTAAGGTCGGCCCAATCGGTTGAGCCTACGTCATAATTTGTGGTAGTGGGGGCCTGCGTTCGCGTCGCCCCTCACCAGTTCAAGTCATAATTTTGTCGGCCCAATTCAAATGAATTGCCAAGTCCATGAACCAAAAAAGTCCTTACCAAAACAAATTTCAACCCATATTTCAACCCATACTTTTGGATATAAAAAATTTTGGATTTGTTTGGATTTTTTGGTTTAGTTTGGTTAATTTTAAAAAATGTGGTATGGTTAGTTGTTAGTGGGTATATTAAAATAATATTTAAAATAAAATAATTAAAGTTGATTTGATGTAAAAATATGAGAGAGAGATTTGAAGTAATGGTTAGTTAAAATTATGTGAGTGGATGAATAGTGAATTAAGGTTGATGTGATATGTAAGAATGATTGGTTGATATTATTTAATTATATTAAAAATATTAATGATAGTTGGGTTGAGTTAAAAAAAATAGTTGAGTTAAAAATGTTTGGATTTTTTTGATAAATTTTGTATCCAAGCATATATTTTTGTATTAGTTATCGGTACAGGGGCAAATGCAATAAATGAGGAAAATTCTCCTTTACTTCCTTAATCCCTACATATAAACTGTATATCAAAATATTATTTCAATATTATTAATCCCTACACTACATTTTACATTTGATTTTATATCAAAAGATTATGAAACTATATTTTTTCTAATGAAAAGTGTAAATTGTTATACGTTATTCATTAATGCTCTGGCCGGCCCACGAAGCCAAAAGACACATGACATCACTCATGATGAAAATTGGGCCCATATCGGTTTAAGCCCAAATTATAAAGGACGAAGCTCGAGAACCCGCATGACCAGTCTTGTGTGAACTAGAACCGGTAAAGCGAACTGAATAAGCGACCATCTTACATGTCCCGTCACAATAAGTCGAGTTTTTGCATGGAGACACGTGTCATTCACTCGCACCCCTAATTAGCACACAACCTTCATTATTTTCCTACCTGTGTATAAATTCGACCTTCGAGGCTTTAGAAAACACATCGAAAAGTCATTAATAAAACACTATCATACCCTTCTTCCTTTTAACCTAGTCATTGTGCCGATGTCTCCAACATTTTTTATCTAGTATATCAACCTATTTTTATGCTTAATTCTTATTCAAAACCAATTAATCGGTTTGATATTATTCTCACAGCCGAGTAAATCATTACACTTAATTCCTTTAGTTACGCCTTAAATCCATTCCTTTTATTATGATTGACATCGAGTGTCAACAAAATGACGCTAGAAGGAGGGCGACCATCAAGGATTTTCGATGAACCTCCCCTCATATATTCATAACCTCCATTGCGTTTTCAGGCAACACCAACACCCACTCGGTCTCCAACTACCGACGGACGCTAGAAAAGACTTCATTTAAATGTTGCACCTCCTCTACATAGATCAACATCATCTCCTACCATTCCAACTCTTTGCACCTCCTCTACATAGATCAACATCATCTCCTACCATTCCAACTCTCAGTCTCCAATTTGCTAGCACTAACTGCTAAGAGTGGATTACCAAACAAGACCAAAATCTTGCAGTTTGTTTTTATAGAAAGCATGTAGAAAATTAATAAAGAGAATATCCTCTCTCCAAAATATCTTAATGAAATAAAATAATCAAAAAAATAAAGACTCATAAGGTTTTATTATTCTCTTTCTAACTTGAGTCTTTCCTTCTTCCAAACTTTTGTAGGAAACCGGTGTGCCATAGCTCGATATCATTTCTTTTGTACTCTAAAATAACAAAATGCCAAACTTTGACATAACAAAAATCATAAGAATTAATTTAAATCAATAATTAAGCTCAAATAAATACAAAAAAAAAATATGAGAAACATGATATTTAATGTGTAAAAAATACGACTTATTAATTAGTTTAAAATAAGTATTAGGTAAAGGCCTTATTTTCGGATATCTCCCGAAGGCCGAAGTAGAAGTAAATGAAATGAAGCAAGATATTACAATATCTTCTTTCTTTTATGTTGGTGTTATTAGCTCATCTAGGAGTGTGATTGAATATGAAATATTTTTTTATATATTCCTGGATATTTTTTCTTGGACGGATTACAATGGATACAAATTTCAACTCAAAATTGACTATTAATTTAACAAAAATTCAACTTAATTCTTTTTAAAATTATCAATATAATTAAATAATATCAATCAATTATTACTATATATCTTTCAACAAAATTCACTATTCATTCACTCACATATTTTTAACTATCAACCATTTACGATCATTATTATACTACTATTTTTATATGATATCAATTTTAATAATCGTATTTTAACTAATATCTACTCACAAACTCAAAATCAAATTCAAATATCAAATCAATAATTTTTTTCCAATCTTAATTCACTTTATGAATAATCAAGTTCAATAATAATAATAAAAAAAATAATCATTTCCAACCACACATGAATAAAAAGTAAAACCACTTGGCACAACTTTTAAAACCGACCAAATAATTGAAGAAACAAAGTACACAACACTCACTTCGTAAATTTATGTGTTTATCAGAATTCATACGAGCATCAACTCATATTCTTTTAACAAAATACCTTTGGTTTCTTTACTTACACCCAATAATTTCACATTTCTTAATCAAGTTTTTCTTCATGCTCCTCAAAAAATAAATAAAAATATTTCAGTACATGTAGGCCCTGTGCAGCCCTGAATTTGACAGTGCATAGAAGAAACTTATAAGTGCTCTAGGACAAAAAATCTCTTTGGCCCGTTACAGTTGAGACAATAAAACCAAATAAGCACTGGTCAAAATACAGACAAACATACAACTGTAATTTTATATTTCTGAAAAAAATAAACATAAAGAAGAAAGAAACAGACTTTTGCAAACAATTCAAGAATATTATTAATCCTCTCAAACATTTCAAACTCAAATTTTCCAAATTTTCTGTGCCCTTTCT